GATACAGGTAGCCGGAGCCCGTCATCATCAATCGTCAAGCACGGCATGACAACTCTACATCACGTAAACCCGGAGACCGCATTCAAGATGCTATTGTGCAACAGAAACCCAAGAATGCTGGAAAATAGTGAAGCGTTGCTAATTATGGCACAGCAACCCATGTTATATGCACAGAAACTCTTGAGGCGATCGATTAGGTTGCCACGGTGTAGATAACTGTTTCATATATGATTCCGTGTATCAGTTCCGCTTGTATGGTGTCTGAGACTGAGGAGAACAATCAAAATGTCAACATATCGCAGCCCAGGTCTTCTTTCTGCCTCGGGCAAATCTAAACAAGCTGTATTGTTTGTCGATCCGAATCGTTAATGAAAGTCTAACCGAGGATGATAGTCACGCACAGGCACAGGTACACACATGCAAATAATACACGATGGTTCGGCCGTTCGAGGTGACGGTGACAAAGGGAAAGGCGTAGCAAGAGAATGCCGAACTGACGCACACCATTAACGAGACGCAGAAGGTCGAAACAGTTGTCTAGTGCTTTTCCAGATGTGTCGGAGTCTGCTGACCGCGAGACTGCGACGAACCACTTCAGAAATTAAAACCAAATCTCCACTACTCATTAGAAGTCTGGGTTGCAAGACAGACGATTTGTCCTTTCGGCTAGCGGCCGGGTGACGAGGATAACTGGGTCACCGCTTGTGATCGAGTTGAAAGGTGCTCACAGTTAAACTCAAGTCACGGCTAAAGAAGTGCCTGCATTAGCATGCTCTGATTGCACAGTTCATTGCATCAGCCCAATCATAGTGGATTCATGCGTCGTTAGTAGGCGTTTTTGCAAAATATAGAAAACTATGAAAGTTTCCGTGGCCAAAAATTGATATCTGCTTTGGAGTAAATGTACCAAAATAGAGCTGTTGATATACTCCTGACTGTGAGCTTCCACAATTCTGCAGAGCATTTTTCTGATATCCGTTTCTCAATGGTAACACAACTGACTCCGCGGTTACGTCAGGTCGTTACCTCTTCTTGTGATCAAGTGGTCTTAACCAACGGATTCGTGAGAGTAGGGTGGTGGATTTTAGCCTCACACGAATGACCTATGCTTCTGTGCATGTGAGTCTAATTGTGATGAATTCGAATTACGCCTCTTAAATCCTTTGTGAATGAAACGCTTTGTCCCAAGGTGTCAGTGAACAGAATCGATAATAAAGCAGAATGTATTAGTAATTATTCTATCGCGTAGTATTTAGTTGTATGCCGCTGGACTGCTAACAACAAGACTATCCACCCAAGTGGAGTCTTCTGAACCTGCAAAGAAACGATACTGTGAAGTAGAAAGCATTGGACATTACAATATAGGCAAGCGAACGGTGAGTAGACAGTCCGTCAGGTAGCTCCCTGTGAGTGAATGATGTACATTACGGGAGCGTAGTGCCAGAAGACCGTGTCGATAACTATGTGGACGACTCGGTCAAACATGCGAAAGATTGACACAAGTTCCAGTTAATAAGTGGAACACATAGTGATGATGCAAACGAGCTTGTGGTATTTTGTGCCATGCTGCTAGTGATGGAGTTTGAGTTGGTGGACAATACTACCCCTTTGGGGACGATGAACATCAGGTGCATTTGAGAAACAGTGCGTTTAAGCAACTGTTACAAAACGCGACTCCGAAAGACAAGGTAGGTAGGCATCCACTAACTGTGCTGGATGAACCAGTGAAAAGTCTGCGGTTCTATGTCTCATAAGTTGGGCAGGTGCTAGGAACATTCATTTCCTAGGACGCTGTCAAAAGACATGTGACCCTGGCATGAGATCGGAAGTAGCCGACGGACAAGTGGGCATCACCCGCAAATCACGCGACTGTGGACTGAGATAAGACAACGGATGGAAAACCCGCACTTGGTCTTGGGAAAGCGACTGTGATGTGTTAGAGGAACGTAAGTGTGCACAAAAATGTGGCCGTTCATCGATAAATAGAACGCTGCTTGTGTCAGACGACTAACTGGAGAGTAGAACTAAATGCGTGCAGCACTTGCTGTGTTCTACCGCGGCGAAATGGTTGGGCTTCTCTAGCAGTTAGATCAAAACAATCATAATCATCACAAAACCACGTCAGCTGGAGGTGAGAAATACCTCCCAGTTGGACACAAGCATTTCGTAAAACAAAGAGGCAAAAGCAGAAACATAACAAATAGTATGCTCTCGTGTTTAGTGTGTATCAGCAATGAGATCATCGGAGGAGAGTTAGAGAAAAAGGCTTCGGCAGTACACGGTACGCAGTACCGATGCTTCGCTGCCAAACAACCACCACCAATCGAACGAGGGTTAAGGATATTGCGAAGGTCGCCCGGTCCCCATGCAGGCTCGAACCCGCGCCCTCGGATTACATGACAGGCTTGTGATCCTTAAGGCTACGGGCTGGGTGAGAGAAAATCCCAACACAAACGCCAATGAGGTCGGCTCTTCACCATAGCAACAGGTGTATGCAACCTAACGTGTTCTTCATGTTCCGGACTGCAACCTGGTAGTTAGGAAGCACAAACCTAGGCCAAATTTGAAGTGACGGTCATTTGACCAAGTCATCGCTTGGTCTCCCATCCCCTTCATGCATTCACACGCTAATCCCGCAAAGAGATCACGTCGTAGGAGTCGATATGTAACACATGGTCCATTCATCGGAGCCTGGTGCTTGATATAGCAGTGCTGAGCAGTTCACTCACTCTTCCGGAACCAAATGCGAGACGCGGAACACGCCCATTGAGCACGCGGTGTTCCTACCAGATGTGAACTAAGGTGATTAGCCTCTTTTTATCTGTCCTTATGATAAACCAGGTTTCGTAACCGTACAAGTTAGTTGAAAGACGGCTGCGTTATAGACTACTCTTCAGGGCGACAGCGATGTGTTGGCGCCACAGATGACGAAGACTGGTAAGAACACTTTGAGGTTCGTGATCTCATCTTCTATTCCAAAGGTGCTGTCAGGGCATTTGCAGTACTGAACCATTTCCAGTTGGTTCCCAACCAAGGGTCAATGCGAGAAATGGCCACTGCTAGTAGTAGAGAGGTATGCATTTGGAAGCTGTGAAGCACAGATCGAAAAGACTGGCGAGTATCATAGTACGGATATCCTAGCATGTCGAATGATCCACCAACGATCAATCGGTGAATGACGCGTGCATCAGCATTCACAGCGACGTACTACGATAATCGGACAGATTTGATGTGTGAGAAAGTAACGGACTCTTCGAGTGTGAGATTTTAAAGGAAAAAGAAGGACCGGATCCTTAAATTACTCAAACACCGGCAATGAGACCGATTGGAGATAGGAGTGCAGAGAGGAAGCTCACATGATAAACGGTATGGATGTGACGGCAAGTGTGTGCAGTGATTGAACTAACTCCGACGTTGCACTTGATGGCGCAATAGAAAGTAGGTAGCATCATCGCAGGCGGGTTACACCTGTACGATCGATCACACTCGTGTGAAGTCTTGCCAGCAAAATACAAGTGGCGTGTCAGTTTCGGGTGCGTGCAATCAGGACAACAGAGCGTCTACACACCAGATACCACAAAATATGATCGCCGGACATGACGACCGCGTATGCCGCCCCCTTCAGCAACGATTCAGTCTCCTGGAGCTAGTAATCGAAGTGAAATGCATTAGACAGGTAAGTACCTTGACATCATTCATATTGTTAGGAAGGAATACGCGATGCGAACAAGCCAGGACTCCATCGCCGCGGCAGGCGATCCACTCATCCGCCCTGATTGGGGCGAACAGAGAGCCAACCGCGGGAAGCGGCCAATTAACGCGAGGGCGGCGTTCCTTTATTGGCTGTAAGCTGACCCTTTCAGAGCTTTCCACGTTCGCTTTAAATACCATTCACGAACTATCCATTTCACCTTTATAATGAACGGTGTGATTTTCTAATTCATTCCTGATGCTCTGCTCGTCCGATCCGGTCTTCTATCTGTCCTGTGGGGGTCAGCGACTTCGGGTTTGATTGGGAATCAAGCGTCCATTCAGGCGAGGGACGAACATTTCACCTATCAAGCGCAGCCACAGCGGGGAAATCAAACAACCAACATAGAATTTGAGTGAAAGTGAACACGCAAAATTGACACAGAACATGCAGTAAAATATCATGATTGAACAAACCGAATAGTGGGATGACTTTTATCCAGATTAAAAAGACCTGGTTTATGTGTACGTTGGTTTAGCCCAACTGTGGCGAAGAAGCATCATGAATGCAACATCAATGGGTACTGCGTACCGGCGTACTGCTGAGGATTTTTGACTTTCTTGCGGAAGGTCTAAGTACCAGACAAATAAGTAAAAGGCAGCTACTAGGTCAAATAGTATGGTGCTGTAACAGTAGATAGTCATCGCGACGTTTACGGGTGGGTACATGAACCATCGCGGTGGATGGTGTGATCGTGAGTATCTTGTAGGGATCCTTTGAAACATAACATCTATCCTGATGAAGCGCATATCCTGCGTTACAAGATCAAGGGAAGCGCTTGGCCACAATGGTCATGAACTAAGGCAGCTGGTAAAAACTATAACTGAGAGAAATGCAAACGCAAGGTGCTATACGGGATCGATGTCCAGTCCACCGAAGTGCGGTAGGTATAGCTGTCATGACTGCGTCACTAGGATAACAAAAGCACTGCGGTCCCAGAAACTGTTACGATCAGCAGAGGAGTACACGGCTTTCAAGTCAAGGAAAAGCATCCGGTGTCAATCATCGGTATGACTGCAGTTATGCCAACAGTTCACGTGTGTCACAATGGAGATATAAAGGGCGCCTACTTCCTCGGCAACCTCACTCAGGGAACCGTCGGGATCATAACGGATGCACCAGTGAGCTTCGGAATGTATAGTGACACTCACCCGGGCGAACAGTTTATTCAAAAGCATGGATTCGACAAGCTGTTTCCGGGTCAGTTGGTGCGCCTGCTGATGGTTCCACAGATGATCGAACCACCAAAAGCTGTCACGATATTCTGAAAGTAAAAAGACGGATGGACATGAGACGGGTGGACAAACCATTCAGTGTCGATTCCACTGACCAGTGCGAGTGCACAAATCTGCGTATGGGATGAAAACAAAGTGCGAAAAGCACGTAAAAACGGTAAGCGGCCGCACAACAAATACAACTACACAGTTTCTTAACCAAGATGCAGAAAAAGAATTCCCATGACAGCGAAACGCGAATGCGTGCCGCTAGTTAGAGAAGTCTAAGATTGCCATCATCATCATTGGATAGTCCAAAAGGAACTTTGATTTATTTCCCAACCTGGATTGCTTACTTGAGATCACGGTTACAAGATAATTCGTTTTATTCTTCTGCCCAGACTGTGCGCTAAGTCTAGGTTTATTGGTTGGTAGTTTTTAGTTTAGGTTTCGTACGACGTAGTTAGTTTAGACCTCGTATCGTTGGCACATAAGCAGAATAGTGCCATCATATCCGTTCCTGGTGATGCTATTGATGATGACCTTGAGCAGATTCAGAGCTGAATCCAGCAATCGTACACTGGAGTTGGCCTTAACGAGCATGCGCATGCTGTAGGCGAAGATGGTTGATGCTAAGGATTACTGCGAACCTGAATTTGAGTCGGATGCGCTGATTAGTGAACGATTGCGATTTATTCCGGCCGACGCCTGTGAACTCCTGCTCGAAGATGATAGCTGCTCGTATTTTTAAAAGCCAATTAAGCGGGGTCTGCGTGTGCCATCCGTATTACTCCCAGTAACCAGGATGTCACCTAAGTATGCATATGCGTCTAATATATCCTTCACCAGTGTGTTAATAATACACTGAAAGACAACCAGGGCCGAGCTTATCCCAAATGGCATGTGTGCATAGCGGAATAATCCAAGGTGAGTGCTAATGGTGGTGAATCCACGTGATTCCTCATCGAGTTCAATTTGTTAGTAAGCGTGGCTCAGATATAGTGCGGTAAAAAGCTCGCCACAGGAGACAGAGGCGCAAATGTCTTCAACATTCGGTAACAGATAACTGCGTAGCTGCATTGCCTCATGGATCGTAACTTTATAGTCCCCAAAGATTCTTATGGCACCATTGCTTTTCAATAATCGCACCACAGGGGCTGGCCAGTCCGAATATTGAACATGTTCAATCGTACCCTCCAGCTGGAGTCGGCGCAACTCACTCTCGACTTTATCACAAAGAGTATAGGGAACAGATCGAGCTTCCCAAAACCTTGGTATCGCCTGTGGTTTCAGCACTAGATGAGCAGCGTAATTTGTCAAAAGGCCTTTTTAATTTCAATTCAAAAAAGTGCTTTATGCACCATAAGGGTGAATATTCGGCTGTTACATACACGCTTTCAGCATAGTAAAAGAAATAAAGCAATAAATTCTTAGGTAGCATAAACAGCAGTATGGCTATTATGCAAAGTTGTTTTTACGCTCCAGGATAACTGATATCCAGCCGAACAGAAAAAAGTTCCAGGTATGGAATAACGGACAAAAATTGATCTATATTGTTGTCTGGTTGAGGATGTTGGTACACACTCAGTGCGCCATGAAGAGAGTGGATTGTATCAGTAAGTATTCTCGAAGCAAGCCTTACGCACAACAATCGCAACAAAGATTGGCTTGGGAATTCCACTACACCGAGATAATTGCATCAGTGACCTACTTAGGATAGAAGTGTTTCCTTAGAAAACCAGGAAATATCACAGTAGCAATAGGCACAAAGTAGCAAGACACATGCGGTGATAAATCTCGGAATTAAGTGGCGGGGGACAGAAAAGGATCGCGAACGAAGGGCTTAGAACGAAAGCCTCCTCACCTTTGTAAAAAATCATTAACATGGGGTGACCAGGAAAGATCACGACTGATTGTTACACCTTGATACTTCACCGACAATCTAGTGTGCAAATTCTAACCATCTATGTGTATTTCGGAGTATTGCATACAAATTTGCTGATAACCATGGCCTTGTGTAGAGAGAAAATGACATGATTGCATTTTGATGCATTCAGCGATAAAGAGTGAGCTCTGGACCATAATACAAGGCTGTCCAGATAGGCATGTAATTTAGTTGATGAGGCTGTGGTCGGTTGTTGCATACCCAAGACTACGTCATCTGAATACTTTAGCAATACCACATAGGTAGGGGCAGGTAGAAGTAATGTAGGTGGAATAGAGGTATGGAGATAGTGTGGCCCCTTAAAGAACTCCAGTGTCTGTGGTGAGCGGCAAGGAAGTTTTACCTCCAAGTCAAATAAAATGGGCACGTTCAGTGAAATAGTACCTCAAATGCTGGACAGTAGAGTCGAATTCCGGCATCGTATACATCTGACAACTTCCGCCGTCTAGTTTATATCATCAGGGCCACTGGTTGCAATTTCCACGCTAACAGCCAGACGATTTGCGTATCAGACGGCACGAAGATCACCAAACTTCCCAAGCGATTGGGTCGCTGGGTAGAGCATTTCGCTCTTCAATTCAACCACCCAACACAGCCCCATGTGACACCTCCAGCCCCAATGTATGATGCTTGGCTTGTTTCCACAGTCCCCCGCCCCCAATGAAGCAGAGATTCGAAATACAATACAATCTTTGAAAGGGTACAAAGCTCCGGGTCCCGACAACCTACCACCGGCTCTATTCAGAGATGGCGGGAGTGTACTTGTCAGCGAAATCCTATCGCTGTTCACGAAAGTTTGGACTGAGGAGAAGGTTCCGAACTCATGGGGAGAATCGGTCATTGTTCCGATTCACAAGAAGGGCTCCCGCGCCGATTGCTGTAACTACCGTGGAATCTCGTTAATCTCGTTCGCGTCCAAAATCTTCGTGTCGGTCCTACTTAGCAGGCTTTCAACGAGTAGAGAGGAGTTTTCCCGAGAAGAACAAGCCCGGTTTCGTCCAGACTGCGGCTGCATCGACTAAATCTTCACGCTTCGGCAAGTTCTCGAGCTTCGTCACATCCACCGGCGACCAACAATCGTAGTGTTCTTGGACATCCGAGCGGCACTTGATTCAGTAGATAGATCTGCGTTGTGGAACTGTTTACTGAAGAAAGGTGTGCCCGACAAGTTTGTAACTATCCTGAAAGAACTTTACAGTCACACGTCCGGCAAAGTCAGAGCTTACGGCACGCACTCTTCTTCATTTGCTGTGGCCAGCGGTGTTCGCCAAGGTTGCCCTATTTCACCTTTCTTCTTCAATTTCGCCATCGAAGATGTTCTCCAAAGAGCACTGGAAGGTGTCCAGGACTGCGGTGTTGAGTTTCTCCCTGAAGACAGAGTCACGGACTTGGACTACGCCGATGATATCGCCGTGCTGTCCAGAGCGCTTTGGACGGCTTGGCGATGGAGGCGTCAAAGTACAGCTTATACTTCACTCCGGGAACATGTAAAACGCTGCTTCATGACTGCCAGGTGCTTGAACCCGCGCTCACCATTGCAGGAGATGTTCTGGAGCAAGTCGATTGCTTTACTTATCTAGGGAGTTGCATCACGGCTGATGGCGGTGTTGGAGATGAAGTCTCACGACGGACTGCGAAGGCCCGCCTTGCATTCATCAAACTGAGACATCCATAGCGTCGTCGTGATGTTAATCTAAAGTTCAAGGGCAGGGTGTACATTGCTTCCGTCCGCGCATTACTCTTGTACGGCTGTGAGATTTGGCCTATTCGCTCGGAAGACATGAAGCGGCTGTCAGTCTTCGACGATCGCTGTCTACGAAGCATTGCTCGGTTGTGGTGGCAACACCACGTAAGCAACGCAGAGGTGTGAGACTGCGTGCTTGGGGCGAATAGTGCCAGTCTTCGGGACGTCATTCGCCGACATCGCATGCGTTGTCTCGGGCACATTCTGCGCATGCCAGCCCATCGCCTTCCAAGTCGAGGACTATTTGCACTCCCAGGGAGCGACTGGAAAAAGTGCCGCGGTGGATAGCCAATAACGTGGCGAAGGAGTATGAAGAAGGCAACCTCAAGTTAGGCTGCAGTCGGACCAGTTCGTCTTCCAGGTTGGGAACCATGAGATGCTGAATCGCAGTGGTTGGAAACATTAGACGTCATGGACTGCAACAGACATCAGTAGTGTCAATGTTGTCCTGCCATTTTACCATCCTTTGATGCACACAAAGACTCACACAAACAAACAAAAAATACAAAATGGCGTGCATAAAACCAAAAAATCGTCTCCCATATTTCTTAATCGCAGTTCGTGTTCCCATCTTCTTCACTTTTCTTCTTCTGCCATGGTTCTGATGGCACAATGTCTGTTAACAGACTGGGAATCATCATCATACATACACGTTAGCTAGAGGTGGGGAACACCTCAGCTACTGTGCCACAATACAAAGAAAAAAGGAGAAAAAAAGCAACTGGTGCAAGCCGGCTGAGCTACTGGTAACGGATGGGCATCGCTCTGGTAAGCTACCAGCCGGCTACTGTGCATCAAAAAAAATTACTATGCAAAATTATATAAGACTAAATTATGAGATCGTGGTTGGAGGGGAGGCTAAGAGGGATGGGGTGGGACAAAGAAACTCACACCACGAACGCCACTGAGGTCGGCTCCTTGCCATATCAGCAAGTGTGTCCAACCAAACGTGTTCATCGTCTTTCGGACCCCAACCAGGGAGCCGAGACACTCCAACCGAGGCCAGCTCCGAAGTGAGGGACTTCATTCCTCTGGACCAAGTCATCGCTTGGCCACCTCTCCTCTTCTTCCATCCACATCCCCGGTGAGCAAACAACGCACGTCGCGGGAGTCGGTGGGCTGGCATGCGTAACACGTGGCCCAGCCATCGGAGCCTGGTGCGTGAAATGACGGTGCTGAGCGGTTCGGTTTCTTTTTCTGTGCCGTAAACAAGGCGTCGAACACGCTCGTTGCTCACGCGGTGTTCCCACCAGATGTGAGCCAAATTGCGAAGGCACCGGTGGTCGAACGTAACTAGCCTCTTCAGGTCCGTTGCTTTAAGCGGCCAGGTTTCACAACCGTACAGTAGGGTCGAACGTACC